AGTTTACTATTGGCTATTGCAAATTGAAATAGCCAATAGGAATCTAGCAATGCATTCCAATGTGCAAAAACGTTTTTTGTTTTTTTTTCTATTCTGACACGGCTCCGTGTCAGATTAAAGAAAAAAAAAAGAAAAATCAGTGTTTCTCTCCTGGGCGGCAGGGAGTGCCCAGGAGAGAAACTATTAAACTATTTTTCTGTTCTGCTCGGTCCCTCTGAGGGACCGAGCAGAACAGCCGAGCCGAATGCCGCTCAGCGGCATTCGGCTATTCACTCACTGCTGTTCGGCATCTATAAGAATAGGCCGAACAGCAGTGAGTAGCCTGCCGGAGGTTCGGCTCAGCCGATCCAGATGTTGGATCGGCTGAGTCGAACTCCTTCTGCACTTCGGGTCGGCCAAACATGCTGAGCATGTTCGGCCGACCCAAAGCCACCCGATGTACGGCTGATTTCAGCCGATATACGGCTGACATCAGCCGCACCAGCCTGAAGTAAATAGCCGAACAGCGTTCGGCTCACTTTGCTTCAGGACGGTCATTCACTCATCTGCCTACGGCCCAAAGCCATGCGAAGCAAGCCGATGTACGGCTGATTTCAGCCGATAGACGGCTGAAATCAGCCGTACAAGCCTGAAGTGAATAGCCGAACAGTGTTCGGCTCACTTCACTTGGGGTCGGTTGTTCACTCGGCTGCCCTCGGCAGCTTAGTGAATAGACCCATATATGTTTTCGGGTGGGCACGCTTTTGGGTGACCGCGCAGGTCCACTGACGGGGGTCGGAGAACTTAATATTCCTAATTAGGGAGCCCTATGGAAGGCAAATCTTCCCCCCAGTTCTTGTGGGATCTGCACATACAAATAAGAGCTGATGCTGCTCTGTAACTTGTTTCTGTGTGCAGCTCTCAAGACATCTTACTGCTGTCATCTGACAGAGCTGAGGCTGATAGTGTGATCACGCACACAGGAAAGCTGAGCAATAAAAGGTGCCTGTCTCTCCCACAAGTGTTGGAATCCTGCTTAATTTGCTTTGCTCAATACATCACAGATTAAAAAAAATACACTGTTAGTCTCTGTTATTCCATACTGCTGCAAAGGTTTCAATTAAAAAGTGATGGCAGGGTCTATTTATCTTCCACTTTAAGAGATGCCTTTTTCACCTAGATTTCACACATTATAGCTGTAAATAGTGAACATGTATTATCTTTTCTTTAGCACCTGTAATGCTCTAATCAAATTTCATAGTTGGAATATCTGTTATTAATATCTGTAATACACAATTATCTAGCAATAAAAGATTCTTACCATGCTGACACAGATCGCCGTAGAATCCTGCATCACAAGCACAGGTGAAGTTGTTGATTGTCTCAATGCATTCTCCATGGCCACTGCATAATGTGCTGTTGCATGATGCTGGGAGGAAAAAAGCATAAATCAAAACATCATTTAGTGTCATACCTGCATGTTTCTATAAGACCAGTAATACTAATAATTACATAGCCTCTTGTTCATCGTGCTGCTAGTTTTGGGTAGGGTTACACTATAATCTCTGGTGTTGGCAAATCCATCTCCTTCACCCAGAATGGCTATAGCAGGCTGTCCAAAGCCAATGGCTCACATTGCTGTAACCTTTCCAGGACAAACTACGGAACACAGGGATAGCCTACTGCTGGGGCTTCCCCTTTCACAAGTTCTTGGCTTTTCAGCCAGCCTTCCTTTATTGACACATTTCTATGGAGAATCCACCAGAAAACTATACCGGTAACCCTCTAGTGAATTCTCCATAGAGATGTAGCTACCTTGCCTTACGCAGTTGTGTCTCTGACAATATTAACGTGTTTACTGCTGGGCTGTACCGTTCTGAGCATCTATTTTGTGTTCTACAGGTCTTCCTTAAGCCTGGTTGGTTGGGGGATTACTTCCACCTGTTGCTGGGAGGAGGCTCCATCCAGCAGTGCACAAGAATTAAACCCAGGTTATAAATGTTGATCATGCCTTCAATTCCTGAGAGGCTGGCTCATAGGTATGAATGGGGAGATGATAAATGTTTGTTGGCACATTTTGAGAAAGCTCTCTTCTCTGGGGCTTCTCCCTCCGAGGGATAAATGTAAAGTTATGCACTTGAGGACTAAAAACATGCACGCGTCATACACTCTAGGGGGAGTATGTTTGGGGGAGTCAATGGTGGAGAAAGATCTGGGTGTTCTGGTAGACCATAGATTGAATAATAGCATGTATTGTCAAGCTGCAGTTTCTAAAGCAAGCAAAATACTTTCTTGTATTAAAAGGGGTATGGACTCCAGAGATAGAGACATAATCCTGCCCCTGTACAAAGCATTAGTAAGACCTCATCTGGAATATGCAGTTCTGTTTTGGGCACCAGTTCACAAAACGGATGTTGTGGAACTGGAGAAAGTGCAGCGAAGGGCGACTAAACTCATAAGAGGCATGGACGAGCTCAGCTCTGAGGAAAGATTAACTGACCTGAATTTGTTCTCTCTGGAGAAGAGGCGATTAAGGGGGATATGATCACCATGTATAAATACATAAATGGTCCATATAGTGAGCTTGGTGCCAAATTATTTACATTAGGTCACTGCAAAGGACAACGGGGCACTTGTTGCGTCTGGAGGAAAAGAGGTTTTGTCACATACCTGGTTGGAGACTGAATGCGTGAGAAGGCTTCCCATGCATGCGCGCAAATGCGTGTTTCCCAGCTGTTTGTAAAATTTGATTTTGCGCATGCGCGGCAGTGGGTTGCTGACATTTTTAAACTTTGCATACGGAAAGGATTCTTCACAGTTAGACCTATGAAAATGTGGAATAGACTCCCACAGGAGCTAGTTCTAGCTAGCTCAGTTAATTGTTTCAAAACAAATCTGGATGCATTCCTGAATGCACAGAATATTACTGCATATTGAGTTATTATAGGTATATTAAGCATCAGAGATTGTTGATCCAGGGAATATCCGATTGCCTTATGGGATCAGGAAGGAATTTGTTTTCCCTGTTGGAACAAATTGAACCATGCTATATTGGGGTTTTTTTTTGCCTTCCTCTGGATCAACAGTGGGTAATTGTGGGCATAGGGTTCTGTTTAGGCTTTTTTTTTTCTTCATATCTCTATAGGTTGAACTCGATGGACATGTGTCTTTTTTCAACCTGACTAACTATGTAACTATGAGGCCTGTGTGAGGATCTGCTGTTAGGGCCTGGTCATAGCATGTTCCATGTGCTGAGGGCCCTGAATACTAAGCTACTGCTGGAGTGGATACCTCTCTGGCTCTAAGCTGGGCTGGAGAAGGGATTTTCTTGCTGAAGAGTGTTGCAGAGGAGCTAGATAGAACCTGCCATCTGGACAGATATCTTACACGAGGGAACACGAGCCACTTGGTGCATGAAGAAGATTGTAACTGCGCTACAACATCAAAATGGTCATGGATGGTCAGAGTTCCCTTGCACTTTTGCTTTTGATACGCTTTACAAAGCAGTAGGTTAAGTGAAAGAGAAAAACAAAAGAATCATCAGTGGGAAATTGGAGAGGGAGGTAAGATTTAACATACAGGATGGCGGGAGTGAGCAGATGAAAAAAAGGAGATGCAACTACCCATTTCGTAGTTCCCAAGGAGGCCAAAGTGAACAGTTTTTGGTAATACATGGTGAAATCAATTCAGGGGTACCATGTGTTTTGATTTTTGTCCTGTTGATTTCAAAAGCCTTCCATTAACATGATTCGATTAATTGTTATAAGCCACACGAACGTGGAAGAGGGTTAAGGTCAGTTGCACTGGCCGCATTAAGGAGATGTATCATTAAGGAATGTTTATATCTCTTTATAGAAAGGTTATTATCATGGAAGAGGTAAGTTACAGGATAGATTTTTAGGTCTAATCCTGTTATTCTAATTACTACATTCCTGACCAGACTCCAGAAGTTGTTTTGAAATTTCCAAAAGATATGAAAAAACAATGCCTTGGTTCTGCTGCCATCTCCAGCACAAAGGAGATGATTCAGGAAATATTTTTGTAGACTACAGTCAGAAATCTTAGTAAATCTTGTAGGTTTCAGTCCCTTCAATTTTCATACTTTTTCATTGATGACAGGTTATGGCAGGAAAGACAAATCCATTTAACACACAGGGGTCTATTCACTAAGCTGCCGAAGGATCTAGCCGTAGCTTCAGCTGATCCTTCGGCTAGCTTCGGCCCCAGGACCCCTTCGGTTCAGTAGAACCGAGGGGCTGCTGTACGGGCTATTCACTATAGCCCGTACAGCTCCCGAACTTGGCCGAGCCATTGGCCGGCCGACAGCCTGCTTCTGACAGCTGGGTGGAGCCAGCCGTGATGTTACGGCTGGCTCCGGCCACTTGCAGAGAGATCAGTGTCCCTGGTTACCAGCTAACCAGGGACACTGATCTCCAGACAGCCTAACTCTCCCTGGCGCTCCGGGAGTCTCCTGCTCCCGTCCGCCAAGGAGAGAAACACTGATTTTTCTTTTTTTTTTCTTTAATCTGACACGGAGCCTTGTCAGAATAGAAAAAAATAAATAAATACATTTTTCACCATAGGAATGCATTGCTAGATTCCTATTGGCTATTTCAATTTGCAATAGCCAATAGCAAACTAGCATTGCACCCGCCCTCTGCTGGAGTTCTCCATCAGGTCCACCACTACTGATTGACAGCAGCAGAGGGC